AAAGATGAAAACTAGGATTGCCAGGTGATCAGACAAAGAGTGAACACAATGGTCCAGTTTTTGTTGAGTACAACCTTACTAACCTGCACTTACAATTATCAATCTTGTGCTTTAAAAATTCAGTTCAGAGCATTATCTTATAAAAAGCAATTTAAAAGGCATTACCAGAGCCAGACCATACGGAGAGTGTTTCAAGGCTAGAATATTGATGGGTAGGTAGGAGCGTGCGGAATGCTTTCCGGGGAACAATGAATCAACCTCTGACATGACTTTCGTCCAATGAATCTTTCTCAAGAACAATGAGCCACTTACTGTGTAACTTGCAACATCATGGTTCACATCTTCAATGGGACACTTTTGAGTTTTTAATTGAAATTTCTAACTTAGAACCATCACAAGGATTTACTGCATAATAAAAATGAAAATGCAAATCCATTTTAAACACCACCTGCAAATACTTTTAGCATTCATTATATCATAAGCAAGTAATGCAAAGAAATTTTGCGACGGACAGGATTTCTCCCTAAAGTCTGAGTATGAGGAAGTTAAACATCTGCCTTTAAAAGAGATGGAAACCCAGACAATTCTGAGATAGGCAAATGGAAAGACGGATCCCCGTCTTTCATTTCTAACACTGAAATTTAACAATTCATTGTTTCTTTCGTGATCTTATGGATTAATGTTCCAGAATATATATGATTTTATAGTTAGCACTTAAGTTTGTGCATATGTTTCTCATTAACTAATCAATACAGGTACGCAGTTTGAATTCACCAGCTGCTCTGTGGGAGAAGGAAAGACAATCTCTTCCTGTGTGATTTACTGTCTCTGAAAACCTGCTGGAGGGTCCGCTATGGGTTGGTTGTACACAAGAACAATCAAGATATCAAGATGTCGTCATTTCCCCATCTGATAGTTTTGATTTCCTTTTCAAATATCAGTTGACCATAGATAGCTGGGTCTATTTCTGGGTTCTTAATTCTGTTTCACTGGTCTTTGTGCCCGTCATTGTACCAGTACCATACTGATTTGGTTACTTCTACTGTGTAGTAGGTTTTGAGGACAGGGAGTGCTATGCCTCCCACCTCATTTTTGTTTCTCAGACATATTTTGCTTATTTTTGAGGTCTCTTACCTCTCCAAATAAATTTGATAATTTCCCTTTCAATATGCAACACACAGGAGCAATGATTTTATAAATTATTATCTAATGTAGAAGGGACTGGAGAGCATTATGCTAAGTGAACTAACTCAGTCCCACAAGGACAGTATTGTATAAAATCATTATTGTAGAATGAATGTAAGGATCCAAGGGGTGGGGGAAGCAGAGGGATGCGGATGTGCAGGGAGAGGGGGGAATTAGTCATGGAGTTGTACAATTTGATGGGGGGGGGAAATTGGAAGAATCTGTTCTTGAAAACAATGTATTTAAATTTGTAAATTAAAAAAATAAAGATTATATCAATCATAAATAATAGTAATAGAATTCAACGAATGTACTGATATAAGGAAAATACTAAAGCAAACCAAGTTGCCACTAAGAAAATGAGTTTATTTTTATAATAACGTTTTCAAAAAACCACATTTGTAAAATTGCCCACATTCTGGGTTTAAAGATAACCATTACAAAGGGATTAACAATATGTAAAACTGGTTTCTCTTAATCAGTAAACAGATTTAAAAGATCTTAGAAGAGAAAATGTTAAGTCATGGTCAGGTTTAAAAAAGAGAGTTAATATATACACATTATCTGCAAAGTACTGTACTTTTCTCCAGAAAACTCTAATCTTGTTTTACTAAGTTAGAAATATACAGTAATTTCTCAAAATGTTATCTTATTGCTCTGCAAATGAATTACCAACACCAAAGAAAACAGAGGAAATTGTAACCCCTACATTCTCCTGATAAAAAAACAATTAAAATGAAAATTTAGTCCATCCCAATTAAGAATATAAATTAATGACATTTAATACATTATTGCCTTTTCCCCCAAAAGCATAAAAGGTTAAGCATTTTCCAAAAGCATAAACTATTATTTTAGGAAAAAGGAGTAGAAAAACACCATTTTACCTAATCAGCTTACACATAAATTTGGAATATTTACATGCTGTATAATACTGCAGAAATCTTTGGTGGTGATATATAGATTTAAGCTCCCTGAAAAAACACTTTAACAATTTTGTTCTATCAATGTGTATAGTCAAGTATTTATTATTTTAAAAATGCTGGCAGTATTACATTCCAAAATCCAGATACACAGTGAACTGTGTGTGGGGACCTTACAAAGGACCTATATGAGTTTCCATACTTAGCATTAAGGCTTATTTTAATACCAAAATGAACATGCCAGAGTAAAGAGTCAATTGCTTCTAACTTCTAAACAAACTCTAGAAACAGCTACAAATTGTGAATATGAATTAAAAGAAAAAACACGTGTTACAGTTTCTGGCAACCAGATAGTGTCATCAACAGGCTTGTGAATCTGCTGACCAAGCAAGAAGTGGTGAAGGGAAAGTAGGCACTGTTGCTTTGGTGAAGTATTACATTTTTTTTAAAAAAGACCTAAAAGCAGAGGAAGGCAAAAGGACTGCCCTAGCATGACACAAAATGAAGTATATAAGGTTATGACATAAAGTACAAAGGAAACAACATGTTAAAACATATGTAAGAGGAAAGAATAAAAATACTGTAGAGGAGGAGGAAATGATAGGATAGGACATCATGGTGACATCACATGAGGATAAGGATGTCACAGCAGAAATTTTTCAAAGGAAGCACTGTGAAGTATGAATGAGTACGGTTAAACAGGACTTGCACTACCTCTGCTTGGCTGGGGTTGTATTTAACATTTTGATTCTATAAGTGTAGAGGTATAATTGCTCCAATTGGAAACAGCATTCATGAATATACTGTAATTAAAGGTTTGATACTGAGATGAAACTTGAAAAAAAGACAAAATTGTGTAAATCAACCCCTACAGAGAGTGGTACAGAACCACTCTCATGATTTTACCAGGCAATCTGAGATCATAAGGCTTTTTTTTTTTTAACAGAAAAGTCTGCGTGCCAGCTTGCATTTACATTGAGTTAAAAAAAAAAGCCAGCAGCCATGGAGTAGACTTTGAACCACTGTGATGCCATGTGTGCCAGAGTAGAGCTGTACTCAGAGGGTTTGCAGTAATTTTTTTTTCCAAAAAAGCAGATCCCTAGGCCTTTCTTTTATGGTGTCTTTTGGTAGACTTGAACCTCCAAACTTTCTGGGTGGAAGCTGAGTGCCTTAGCAGTTTGTACCACTCAAGAGGCCCTTACTGAGAGGACTAGATCTACCAACTCAAAATAACATCCTCTTCTAGATTTTATAAAGAATATTTATAGGAATTACTAACAGAAATCAAAGAGTTGCCCCCAAAATAAAGGTTAACATTTGTCCAGGTAAAGTAGATGAAAAATATTCAGAGTTAAAGTTTAGGGGAAAAGAAGTGGAATGAATTTTTATTTGGTGTTACATATCAAGAATAAGATAATCTAGAAAATATTTAAAAGCTAATATCAAGAGGCAGTGTATGAATTACACTAAATAAAATGAAATAAACAGTTGCTGTCTAGTAGATTCTATGCCAAGGTACTCCTGAGTAAACATTCTCTTCTCAGTCAATACTCTGAAGAGGTCCTGAATATACATTACCAGCTGGCTTCATTTCTTAAGCAGTAAGACCCAAGATCCCATAAATCTTTTTCCTTTTTTATTTTCTTTTTGAAAAACAAGTAGAAGAGCTAAGTAAATGGTATGCATAAGTTTAACTGTATAAATTTGGTTACTGATCACTAAAACCATCACCACAAACGTATTAACTTAGGATTCATAATGTATAGTTATCAGTTAAACCTACAAGTGTCAAAATCGAGTAACTCAGAATCCTTTTGATTAAAAGGCATCTATTTTTCTAATCATTTCTAATATGCATTTTGCATTGGCACTTCTCATCAGGAAACTATTTCAGCCAGGAAAGAATAGATTCAAAGTATGCTAAGCAATGCCAGATTTATAAACTAGTAGTATATCTAACGCCAAGCTTGTCAAGTGGATCAGCTGCTGGATAATTTCATGAACTAGAGGACTTCAGCGCTATACCAGTTTCTGACTATTTCAAAAGCTACCATTAGAAAGCCAAAAATGTAACTAACCAATGCTAACAACATATGCTAAATTCAACTATTATAGCAAAGTATGGGAAATTGGCTAATATTGAAAATAATTACCTATTTGTAAAAAAAAGTAATTAAAAAGTGCAAAAACAAATTTGCCTTATTTTTCATATTATTAAAATAAAACAAATTCAATAAATGAAACCCATAAGAGATGATGTAATTCAAGGCATAAATGTGACATGTCTGACTGTGATAAACAATAAGATAGTGTCAGTAAAACTTAAAATGTACAGCCATAATGTAAGTAAACAATTTTCAAGTGTGCAAAAACTATTTGAGAATAAAAAAGTGCTATGTGGATACCTGGTTTCTGAATATTTTAAATTTTTCCATTGATGGTGGAAAAAACTAGAAAGCATTTATAAAGCTAAAAAGTCAAGGAATACACAAAACATACTTTATCATCTTACAGTATGCCCCTGTCATATTATATTACTGATGGTTTTATTTAATTACTGTCCACATGTATATAACATAAATAGAGGTAAAAACAAAACAATACCACAAAGGCTGATGTATCCTGAACCAAAAAAACCCACAACAAAACAAACTCTTTTTCAAGTATATTGTGGGTTTGTTTTTCTTCTTAGATCCTAGGCACTCAATGTTGTTGGTGAATTTAAAACAGGCAACATGCATTTTGACAACTCCTGATGTAAATATTAATAAACTTTACCTAACTATCTTTAGTAGTTAAGATTTGGAAGTGATTGTTAAAGAAATAAAAACTATTTAAATTGCTGAAAGGAAACCCTATCACCACACAGTTTAAAGGATTCTTTTAATATGTAAATCTTGAATACATAATATTTGAAAATGAAGTTGATGTATTAGTGTAATTCTTCTTCAGAGTACTTGAAGGGCAGATGGCTAAAAATACACCTGCGGTCTCTTCTTCACTTTGTATTTCAGTGACCCATACCGCACCTAAGGAAAAAAAAATATGTTAATACAAATGACACAATTAACTGAGTATGGTATTATAATCACAGTAATTTTCTTAAAATATTTGTCTTGCAAATATTATTTGGTGC